TTGTAAATAATATGTAATCTTAAAGAAAAAAATTCTTTATTTTCATGTAAAATATAAAAACTTGCTGCCCAATTATATTGGGTTGCTGGACACACAGCATACTGATTAATATTTAGGACAATCAATGAAGCTTATATATAAATATATAGAAGTGATTAATATTTATGAGTATAATATATATCTGTTTTTTTTTTCTTGTTCAAGAGATGATTCCCAAGAGTCGAGGACTATATTTTCAGCCAACCTCACTAAGTCCCTAATGTTGACATCTAGTTCCTCGAGGAAGTTCCTTGATCTTTTTGGAATCGTTCCGCGAGACCTCTTACGGTGAACTCTCTCTCTCCGAAGGTCTCACGGAAGTTCTCTTTTAGGAAAGGGATACATTTATCATATGTGTTCTTATTCTCCGTTACCACTTTACTAGCCTGATCGAAGTCATTGCTCTCAAAGCGGACAGTTCGATCCAGGATCAGCTCTGTCCTTCCTGCTTTGGGAAATGCGGAAATATCCGCATACCTTGTAGAGCCTTCACTGTCGATGCAATAGACCTCGTAAAAGCAGGTGAATTCCTTTTGTTTAAGGAATCTCATCAACTCGAACTTGACCCTGTGTTGCCGACATGTTATGGGGAGGTAGTTCCCAGCACGTGGGCTGGTGTTTCGAACTCTCTGCCGGACAGAGGAGCCCAACTTCTCTGACCTGTCCGCTGACACTTGGGACTGCACGCAGGGGTGCATAAGTAATGTTTAGTTTCAAAGCGTTTGACCATTCAGACCCATAAAGTACTTCAGAGGAGTAATCAGGTGGATAGACAAAATTGCAATAGAGCTAGGTGCAGATAAATGGAAAGAAATAGCCTAAGACAGGCAGAGATAGAACAGACTTGTTAAGGCGGAAAAAGATCTACACGGCCTGTAATGCCATAAAGTCGTTTTTGGGGCAGGTTCCTTCGTTAAAATAATTCATTCAGTTTAATTTGGATAAAAAATGAGCGTTGGATACTTTACCAAAAGTTTAAACTACGGTTTGGTGGTTTTATAACCAGCACCCTAGAAAAAAGTGTTGAGAGATTTTAGAAGAAAACCCTCCGCACGATAACCAGAGCTGTCTAAGATCAGAGTACTAACACATCGAGAAGAAAGACCAATAAAGAACTGCATACAGAACCTGGTCAATCAATATCCCATGACATAAAGGCACGAAGATTAAGATGCGCGGGGCATGTAGTTCGTATCAATCCATCTGGAAGCCTCTACGTTACAATGAATGCCTCAATAGAAGGCAAAAGACCACGCGGAAGGCCAAAATCAGGTGGATTGATTGAATCAACAAAGATGCAATAGAGATAAATGGAAAGAAATAGCCCAAGACAGGCAGTCAGGTTTGTTAAGGCGGCTAAAGATCTACATGGTCTGTCAACAGAAAAAAATATATGTATATATATTTTTTTGTATTCTTCAGTCTAAATTTTACCGGATTCATTCTATATTCTTTTCTTACATTCTACTTTCCTTTAAAAAATGTGACAAACAAAAGATGTGAACCTCTTAATAAGCTTACATCTGAATTTACGAAATCAGTATCAATTTTAACACACCCCAGACCGTATTTAAATCGACTGTACTACCGACAATATCTAAAATAAAAATTTTAAATAATTTACTTGACTTTATCACATTTAAGAGGTTTAAATACTTAAACTGATTGCACAAATACTCTTATAATCTGTCAAACCTTATTTTCCAAAAATGTTAACATAAATTTGCCATTATCCCAACTTTCTTCATACCAGAGACCGATCCAATCAACAAGTAATGTTAAATTTTTGTTTGCATAGTATCATACTTCGGTTGGATTGTCACTGGCACTATTCGTAGGCCCAACCTTGCTTGATCGCTCTAAGGTATTCATGCTTTTTTTTAAAAAATAGCCGGGCGTATCCTTGGCGGGGACGGCGCAGAGTGGACAGAGCGCAAGGCCGCTGTGACAATGGCCACCGATGGGACGTTGATTAATTATTAATATGAGCTGGTGGTTGACAGGTTGCGGGGAGGCACGCGGAACTGCGTCCCTTAAATATCAATCGCCAATTCCTCTGATTGGTCATCTAGGCCACATTAGTTACGACTCTACTTATGTCACTCCCATTGTCTTTGATCACTCTCCTCAGGCACTGACATAGATAGAATCACGGGTATTAATAATGGAGATTAGTCGACATGCCAGTCTTTCACTAATCCTACCGGTAAAAACTATTAGCCGCCTTCAGTATTTCTCAGTAATGAATGACACATTTATTATAATTTTTACGTTATGCTTATAAGAGGCAATGTCTATTTACTTTGATTTCAAAGATAAGTAGATTCCACCGCAACACAGATCAGAAACGTTAACATAATATGTTCCAACATTGGAGGATGATTAACAATACTACTGTCTCAAATGGTAATTCCAACATATTGGAATTCAAAAGCAAGGAACATCAAATCCATTATTTGCATATAATAATTTTTTTCCAACAAAAAATTCATTTGTTTGTCCACCTCTTTCTCGCTTGTTAGGCTATACGGTGGTTTTCCCGGACCAGGAGAGAAGGTGGGGAATTAATGACAGCGTTAAAAACTCTCCAGCAGACGTGAACTCGTAATTATTTTATCAGGTGAACTTCATTCATAACCGGACAGAGCATGTTTTAGCAGGGGGAGGGGTGGCCGAATGGGCTAAAGCATGTGCACAGCACCACGAGTTGTCTGGCAACTGGATAAACAGATTTGAGAAGATTTTAAATTCCCCGCCCTCATCCCCCGGCTTAATTTTTAGCATACGCGTTAGCCCGCTCGGCCATATATAAGTCCTTGCACTTCACTAAAGTTAGAATAGAGATATTCATTTATCATTCAAGAATAAGAAGGGTGCCCCTCCCCCCACCTCTTCCCTCCCAAGTTATTTCATTGCTCTCCGATTCTTAAAAAAAAGCAAATATTGTAGATCTATACAATTACACATTCTGAAGTCTGTTTGGTGTTTTTCTCTTGTCCTCTTGTTTGAAACTTTATATTTCGAAAAATTCATAATCCTGCCGCAATGTGTTCCCTCAAAAATTCAAAATGATTCCCATTAAAAAAAAATGATGGCGCCATGAAACCCTCTACTCTGCCTCTAATAGAAATCGAAGTACCACAATTTTCCCGTAGTTTGTAGATTTTTTTTTCATTTTCATCTCTTAATCACTCCTCATGAACTCACTGATAAGTAAAAAGAAACGTATGGTCAAGTCGACTTTACTCAATAAGCCCTCTTATGTATCGTTTAGGACGTGAACTCTTAGGACGTGGAAGAAGGTATTGGATGGGCTCTGAGAACATTGAATGCATTTCGGAAACCAATAATTCATCAAATATCTAAATTAAAGGAGGAAATTTCTTACCTTTCAATTCTTTTATTTTATTTTTTTTACATTCAAATTTTGCTTGAAAGTTGTATATAATTTAATAAATATATAATTTAATATATATTGTGATATTAAAACTGTCTTTTATATTTGCTGATTGTCACTCTCATGACAGGTGCAGATGAAGTATGACAGCAAAAAAAAAATAAAAATAAATACATATATGAATTATTATTTGACTTGAAATCAGAAACTTGCACAGGAAATATTAAAAATATATGTATGTATGCCTACTTATTTATTATTAATTAGTTAAAATGATTAATGTTAAATACTAAGATTAAATAAGTTTTCTATTTTTAAATATTTATTAATAATTTGATTGTGAAGAATGGACAGAATTTTAAGCTCCTAAACTTCACCTAGTATTTTTGTTCTGAACTAACTTAGTTTTTAACTGAAGAGAAACGACAGATCTGAAGAGTATTTAAAAACTTAAAGCAAAGCCAAAAACGCTTGCTTAAAACCAAGTTTAAAATGAAAGATACATAAAAAAGGGCATTTGGGTGTCAAACCGTCAATTAATAATTATTTATTTCTCATAATAAAACTATTCTCATTACAACTTTTGAATAAATTACTTAAAAGTCATTCATTATGTAAGTAAAGATAGGTTATTCAACTATGTAGCCTTGTTCCAATTTTGTACATTCATGTGCAGCCTTGAATTCAAAACTGTCTCACTTTTAATTGCAATTATAGTTAAATTAGTTAAGCTGCACGGAATTCAGAAAATAAAAGGATCACTACGATATGTAGTTTTATCGGGAGTAGCCACAGATGTTTGGTGAATATTTAGTTAAGTATCAATGAGATCACAATCATTGAGGCATTTTAACTAGCGTTATTTGCTTAAAAGAGTAGAACATTAAAATATAGCTAAAACGGTACCACAAGAAAAATACATATGTTTAATTCCAAATATAATCGTGAAAGGTTAGTTTAAATTGAGTCAGAAAGTTAACACAACATGAAAATTATTGGAAGCACCATCGTTATTACAATACTGTTACTGATGTCTCTAGAAATAAAGCTAACCCCATACGTGAACAAAGTCGAATTAGAAGGACATAGCGTGAGTACAACTGAAGTAGAAAGGGTAGTTATCTATATTGTACATGACTTTGCGTCAAATGACACAATAGTAAAAAACTTGATTTACAACAGCAGATTGAAAACAATATTTTCAGGATCGTACGAGCACCCTTTGTTATTAGGAGAATCTCCGGATTACATCTTTTCTAAGATACGTTTTAGTGCCTACGTAGGACCCAATCCAGGCTGTGTTCCTACCAACATTTCACTTCCCATATCAGGTGGATTTAACCTAAATAAATTGAAAAACATCCTACAGTATTTTAATGAATATGCACTTAAAAAAGAAATTTATGTAATTGAGATCCCAAACTTTTATGTGAATGAATCTACAGTCGATCAAAATAGCTTGTTAGTTGATGAGACATTTAAAATTTTTCCAGAACGCTCTACAGCTATTATAAAATTGAATGATGATCAGCGAAAAATGAACCAACCGACTTTGAAATTGAGCATGTGGGGTTCTAGCGTTGTGAATATCGTAGGGTCGAGGGACTGGGAAAGTGCAGATTTAGCGACCCTGTTAGCGGGATTGTTAAGCGTTCCGATCCCAGGGAACTCCATCGGGAGAACACCCGAAGAGCTGATGAACATCTCCAAGTCATCGATGGCTCGCCTGAGGGCAGAGAACAGCCTTCACTTAGCGACCGCCTGCGTGTCGACGACCACCAGCCACTGCGCCTTCAGCCCCTTCAAGTACATCAGTCAGCCTTTCCTGTCCAAGTGCGACTTCAGCAAGTACATGGACGAAATACAGTCAAATCTCAGGAACGAAAACTACGAACTGGTCCGAATGATGGCCAAGCACCTTGAAGATAGGAGCCTCAAGTGTATTCTTCAGTACAAAAGCCTTTGTATCACTTTCACAGTTATTTTCGCTACAACTATTACTTTCCTTTGGATATATATCCTTATAATATCATTTATAGTCCTCGAAGAAATCACAGAATATTACAATAGAACTGTCATGATATTTACTGTCGCTCTCCATGTGATATTTTATTTGTTAATAGTAGCCTGTGCTTATGCAGTTTTCGCTTTGAACTGGCCTTACAGGTATATTGTTTATCTCGCTCTCATTGTAATCCTTTTATGGATTGCTCTAATACAGTCAAGTTATATATTCAATTTTGTTCCAATGCATATTAAATCTTATATAAGCTGGTTACTGATGTTCTATTTTGCAGTAATCGAAATTGTGTTCTGGTCGTGGGAGAGAGATTTCATGCTGTTTGCATTGTTAGTTCCTTACGTGACGGCAGAATGGGTTTACAAATATCACTATCCTGTGGGTGAGCACTTATGGGTTGCCATCCTCCTTAATGTGAGTTTATTAATACTATGCTATCTTAACTATGTCCAGCCGGTTTTTTCTTCTCTTGGGGCCCAACTGTTAGAATTGATTTCCACATCGTGTTGGACCCTGGTTGGTATCCCATTAGTTTACAAGTACCGTGCTAATCCCTTTGTCACTGCACCGGCTTTGATCACCCAAGCTTTCTTAGTCTATCATTTGTTAATAATTGGTTTCCAACCGGCGGGAGTATCGTATTACACGAACGCTGTCTCTTGGTGGCTCCTGACAGCCCCAGTAGTAGTTTTCTGTCTGACAGACCGTAATTCGATAAGCGTGCTCCTCATAGGTTATTCATCTTCAGTCCCTGTACTTCTACTCAGTACAGGTTTCGAATCCCTTGCTTTGCTCATTTTGTTCGTCCACATGTACTCCTGGTACACCATGGAGTCAGTACCTCAAGCGGATAGCCTCAGAAAAGTGGCAAGAGGTGTCAGTCTATACCTTTACATGTTCCTTTGTCACCTGTTCACTAAATCTGGAGTTGATGCGAGTCGATTTCTCACAAATTCATTTGAAAATTGGCTGCTGGTGCAAATGCTTAAGGTATATAAAGAATTACTTCCAAGCCTCCTATTGTGTTTTCTTTGGGCAGTGTTACACAAAACCCAGAAACAATCATTTACTAGGACCGCAAATTATGTTTTATTGTTGTGTGTATCGGTTAGTTTCAGACATTTCACAAGTGTTGTAATTGATGACAAAATGGAAAATCTTTTAAATAATTATCTGTTCCATATGAACTGCCTTCTGTCCCTGTTCATTACAAAGGCTTTATTCAAAGATTATAAAGTCCCATTCGGTTATTTCATCCCATCTAGGCAAAATAAAAAGTTGTTTGTTGTCACTAAATTCATACGTAATAAAATACAGAAAAAGAATGAGAACTATAATTGTCTGTTTATTTTTTATTATATCTCATAGAGATATTGTAAATAACATATTAATTAATCATGGACCCATAGTGGATTTTTATAATGTTACTCGTATAGTTATTTACTAAATCTTTCATGCCATATTGAGGTAATTTATAGTATAAAAAAAACCTATATTATAAATTGTCATTTACTGTGATGACAAGAATATGATATACTTAAACGAATCAGCATATGTCCGATATGGTATTTAGTAGGCTGAATCAAAAACAGAGTTGCAGATTGCTAATTCTTGAGTTCAGTCGATTAGTTATAACTAATAGATAATGAAGTTAAAACATTAATGGTGAAAAGTATCCTAAAAATGTGATTTCTAGGATTTTTATGCTGATGAGACTGGCGTCAAAGGATGCCTGGATGAGATAAGAGGGTCCTGTAAATGGGCGGAGCATTAAGAACACATCCGTCACTGATTAGCCGGCTACGATGGGCGACAGATATTTTACTGTATCTTAGCCCTTATCCGTCCGAGGAATGCTTCTCCGTAGTTTTCTAGCCGCCTTTTTTGGGGTCATTAAAAATATCTACCATAAAAGAAATAATTAAAAGCAAGACTGATTAACCAGATGGTAGTGAAATCATAGATATTTCAGTATGACTGGTCACTATTTCGGTAAGCCAAATTTAAAAAAAAAAAGTCATAAACTAAAGTGTTGTTCCGAATAGGAAAATAGTGTGACATGTAAATAAAAAAAAAAATCATGAATGTAATTGCATTTAATATGGTACATTTGCAACAAAATAAAATAATAACGGTTTATTCTATGGGCTATTCATAACTTTTCACTTAACATTTCTCAAAAAACCACTACAAACGTGAGTGTAAAGATGAAGATTCGACACAATATAAACCTAAGGTGTGTACTTTAGACTACACGGTAGAAATGAATACATCAACAAGGCGAGATTAATAATATGAAATATAAATAATAGCTTATGTTAAAGAGGATGAAATGCTGGTTATTTCCCTCTCATGTATGAAAATCGGACCTGCATACTGTAATATGCAGGTCCGATTTTCAGTTTCTGTGATATTTTAATCCATATCTTTTATAAAACTCGTTATCGTTTAATTTACGGCACTATTTTTTTTCTTTTTGCCTTTCTAACATGGCGTCGCGTAAAGAGTAATTTTAAATAATAGCCCGTTATAGATAGAATGAAATGCTGAACAATTCCCTCGCTTACAGTATGCAGATCCGATTTTTAGTTTCTTCAATAAAACTTGTTATAATTTGGTTTCCAACACTATTTTTCTTCTTTTGGACTCTCTAACTCGGCATCTCCTTATGATACAATTTCGAATAATAATTCATTACAAAGAGAATAAAATGGCTAAAATTTCTCTTGCTAATAATATGAAGGTCCGATTTTTAGTTTTTGAGTTATTTTAATCCATATAATTCATTCATTAAGGCTCAATATAATTCATTCTTCACGATAAAAGTTCCAAACCCCCTAAAGAAGTTTTCACTTGAAAAAAAAATATATAAAAAACTTAATTCATTGAAAACTAGGTTGGTGTTAGGTGGTGTTGGTGTTATTTATGAGAAACCATATAGAATGACAGAATGAAAAATTTCAATCCTTAATATCAGTAATTAACCTATAACATCTCTCACGCATATGCATGCTTTACTTGAGGGAGATGGGAGGAGAGCAGAACGTGTTAGGGGAACTTTTTTTCCTACATCTGTTGACTTCGACTTTTTAAGTCTTCTCTTCAACAGCTTTGGGTTGTACAGTAGTGATCGTTTTACTATCTTAGGAAATGGAGGATATCATTCACACAACAGCCTAGGGGCAGATTCGGCGATAGCAACGTCAAAGTGGTAACGTAGAAACTCAGATAGCAAAGGGGACAAGGGATCTCGAGATTTAAAATGTTTTTACTTAAATATTTCCTGAATAAATTTCTAATCATCTAATATAATGCCTGGATCAACTTGGGATAAAATGAAGTTTACTTGTTCCAATCTCGGTGCCGCACAGTGGGCAGGTTAATGGAAAACCTGCGACAAAAAAAATTTTTTTTATATCTCGAAAAACTAGATAAACCATTTAATTAATTTAATACCTTAGACAGTTTTTGAGAATATTTTTAGTTGGCAAAATAAACATTTTATACGGCTTTTAGTAAATAGATCAACTTAAAACCTAGTTCATTTGTGGAATTTCGCGTGGTTTGTGGTTTTGTAAAATTACTTCGTTCGAGCTGATGGTTGATAATTTTTTACTGTCATTCTGCTTAATAAAAAAATAATTATAATAATTTCTAAAACTTGATTATCCTCGAATCTTTTTTTCATTTATGTTAACAAAAATAGGTATTTGAACAAATACTGCGATTTAAAAAAACCTTCGATATTCTCCAGAAAATTGATTTCTTACAACTTCTTAGCAGTCATTGTTAAAAATAAATTCATATTAGTTTAAACCGCCATGGTTTGCCCGAATGTAGTTAGAATATATTTAAATTTATTTTTGTATGTATAAATGTTCGAACAATTTCTAGATATGAACTAATATCTCCTATAACTACACATGCTCTCAAATTTAGTTTTAAGAATTGTATTGAACATAAAGAAAATAAAGTTCTGTAGTTATTTTTTTTCGAAAAATACCTCAAACCAAAAGAACAAAACAAATTACATTAAATATTAAATCTTCGTTTTCATTGTTTTAAACTTTTAATTTTTCTACCTAGATAAGAAATAATCTTTTGTATTATTTTTTTGACTGTTTGTTTGACTAGGTTGAACCATCCTCTAATCTAAATAAATAAACAAACACGAGAACGTTAAATGAACTAAAGTTTAAATTTACGGAACATGTGATGTCAATAGGTACTCGTATAAGACAGTCTCAAGGAAAAAAATAACTTTTATTCAGTTGTTCCACTAAGATCACGGTCTGTTAGTAATAAAATGCAATTGTTTTCAATCTCTAACCCTTGTTCTTTTTAAATGTCGTTATAATTTCAAAACGGTAAATCGAATCTGAGAGTATTTGGATACGCAGGTGATATAGCTGTCCTTGGAAGTAATCAAGAAGACATCGAGAAATTCACTACACCACTGATAAGAGAGTCAGAGCAGATCGGCCTACAAGTAAATGAAGACAAACCAAAATATATGGTAATAAACCGAAAATTCCTCTCCAAAAATAGGATCTTCGTAGAAGGAAACTCATTCTTGAGATTAGAAAAATTCAATCTCCACATCAACCTCAATGGATGACCAACGAGCAGAAATAGACCAATGTATAACTAGCTCAAACAGAGCTTTCTTCTCCCTCTCTAAGGTATTGAAATCCCGAAAAATCTCAAGAAATCTCAAACTAAGAGTGTACAATGCTATGATAAACTCAGTTCAAATATATGGCCGTGAGACCTGGTCACTAATCAGCACCCTAGAAAAAAATGTTGTAAGGTTTGAAAGGAAATCCTCCGCACGATAACCGGAGCAATCTGGGATCAGAGTACTTACACATGGAGAAGAAATACCAAGAAGGAACTGCTTAAAGAAACTCGTCAATCAATAATCCATGATATGAAGGCAAGGATACTAACGGCATGTAGCTCGTAGCAATCCATCAGGAATCCTCTACGTAACAATTAATGCCTCAATAGAAGGCAAAAGACCTCGTGGAAGACCAAAAAGCAGATGGATAGATAGAATCAATACAGATGCAACAGAGCTACGTGCAGATAAATGGAAAGCAATATCCCAAGGCAGGCAGAGACGGAGCAGGCTTGTTAAGGCCGCAAAAGAGCTACATGGTCTGTAATGCCAACAGAAAAAATGGATATATTGTCTTCTTTCGTCTACATTTTCTTGGATTCATTCCATAGTCCAACAGAAAAAAAAATAGTTAATTGTTGAAAAATAAAATCTTTTTGTATATGCCATTGTTTACTTTTCAATACAGACTCCGTTATTGAGTGTTAATCTCTTGAATCGATTTCACTGAGCAGCATCATACAAAGATGCAAAGTCCTCCTTGCTAAGCAGGATTCTTTCCGTGGGTGCTTGGTTCCTCGACAATGGGCTAGCGGCGCCACCAGCAGGGGAAGTCTAATTGAAAATGATTGTAGACCGAGGGAGTAATGGGATTAGGTTGGGGGTGCGTCTTTGTCGCGGCTAACGGTCGAGGTATAGGTGGCCCCGTGTACCAATAATTGGGGCACGGGCAGGTCTGGGTGTGTTGGGGACCGCTCTGCTGCTTCTGGGAAACCGCTCAGGGACAGTTGGAAAATGATGATATCAATGGATTATGGAAAGCCTGGACGATACTATTGTAAAACATCTTCATTATCTGTAATGAGGGTTTGATGAGAACGATAAGCTCACCTATATTTTATCTTTTGATGTTGAATCACATTATATTTGTTATCGATATATCTTTGGTATTTCGAATATATGAAGTAAAGTAACGAAAAAATATGTAGCAACAAAATTGAAAGCAAATGAGGTAGCTCAGTTGGTCTAATAATCTATACAGTACATACATAAATGTTATACTGGAAGAATCCTCGCGAATCTAGCGATCGAATGTAAATATAATTTTATTTTTTATAAAAAGAAATTTCACATTTATATTACAGTTAAACCAATATTGTAATGAAAAGAGATTTGAAATTTTAGAATATACCATTTAAAAATGGATCTCTTAATAAAATACTATAATCCGTGGTATAGACCCCTTTTTATCAAATTATAAAGGTCCACCTAAAACGTAGTGAATAGCTTCATCTTATCGTAACCTACAACTATCTATTTATGGAAACTCCTGGCGTTTTCAATTGGGGTGTTTTCAATCTGGAGATCCTCAAACATGCTTTACACTTTGAGCATAAAATAATTCGATCACAAAACCGACAAAAAAATGCGAAAAACAAAAGTATTGGACGGTTTTGCATATATGACCTCGTTATTTTGAAATTTTGCATGTGTATCTCACGCCAAACGGCTCAATACTTTTGAAGGCCACCTTTATTCTCGATTATTTGCTTAAATTATCTTACGATTCAAGTTAAAGAGACAAAGTTTACTGATCTCTAGATTGAAAACGTACCAAATTCCGACAATTTTCGTTAATAAAATATTCGTAGCTTACGATGAGATGGAGCTATTTACGAAATTTCAGGCAGTTGTTAATAATTTGATAAAAAGAGGTATGTACCAAAGACTACTAATCTACTGTTCTTCGATTTATTTTTGATTCATTTAATGATTGAGTGCATATTATGCTATTCGGCCGAGTTGAAGTGTTTTTGAACTTCTGCTGCCACGAGCACCTTGTACATTTCTTCAGACGTATCACTATGTATAAATAAATACGTAATAAAGCAGTTCTGTAATACGACAGGAAGACCTGAACACCAAAATCTTGG